GTTGTCTTGATGGACAGTGGCATAACATACTGGGCATAGTATTGCAATAACCAGCTAATGCAGTAGATGTGTCTTGGGGGCACTGCAGCTCCACTGGCACAGTTAAAACCTGGCCAAAGCATTCAACATGACATAAGGTCCAGAACAGAGTAGAGAGCACATATTCTCTCAAACCGGACCTCAAAGAACCTCATCCGAGAGTGAGTGAAAGAATGCAGGAGAGAAAGAAAAGGACCTGATGGGAGCACTGATTTGAAAGCAGAATACTGGTAGGCATGAAACCAGTGAGCCAAACGATACAGCACAGTCAGTAACAGGGACTGCAAGGTCAGTGCATATGTGTATGTGTGTGTGTGAGAGAGAGAGAGAGAGAGAGAGAGAGAGAGAGAGAAATACATTTATGCCCTGTGACAAAGCATGTTAAAATTCATTAGTGTACATGATGACATATAATCAACGTGGAAAAGACTTGAAAACGATGCAGACAGTGAGAGAGAGAGAGAGAAAAGAGAGAGAGAGACATTCATTCATGTCTCTGCATCCTCTCCTCAGTACAGAGTGTTCCAAAGGTCCTGCGGGAGAGAGCATGGCAACCATGTGACTCTGCACTGAGCTCTACAGCCTCATAGCCAGCCGCTGGTTTACAGTCACACAGCCAAACATAAGCAATCACTAGTACTGCTCAATGTATATGATGTTTCATTAATTTACCCAAACTTACTTCTTTGATTCTATTCGATAACAAATATAGAACAGAAAAAACAGCAATGCAGTATAACTGGAAGTGACGATTGTTATCAATAGCATTTCATATTAGCTTATGTTAGTGCATGATTCTAGCAGAGATGTTCACAAGTCACTTCATGTGAGTCCAAGTCGAGCTTCGAGTATTATATTGTACGAAAGAAAACTGTGGTGTTTAACATAGGGATATAATCAAATACTCTGTTAACCGTTCGTGGTGCCAGAATTTGAATACTGAAATGACTATTCGTGTACTTGTTCTGTTTCAGAGCAAGAAGATGGAGAAAATAAACAGACTAACAATTCAATGAAACAACACTTGTATGTTTCAACAGGACAGTAAAATGTAATTGTTTTGCTTGTATTTGTGAGTATGGATGTGACACTTTGCCACTCTTATACACTCTGTATAAAAGTGGTGCAGCACAATTTTATTCATAACTAGGCTGACTAGCTGATGTTGGCTAAGTCCAGAGGCAGTGGAAACATAGTTCTCTGACAAACTAACATGCCTCTAGCCTCTTAACACCAGCGCTAACACCCAAAAGAGTTCGCCTACAGCTCTAGCCCTACATTTCTGCCAAAGCACCCTTTTTGGACGTTTTTTTAATTCTTGCAGATACTTGGATAGCAAAATATTAAAATGAGTCAGAATGCACATCCCTAGCTAACAAGAACAAGGCAAAACAACTTGAACAAGTTTGCTAGTCTGTAGTTTGTATAGCAACTATGCTAGCCACCTAGCATAATAACCAGTCAAGCTGAAGTTTTAGTAAGTTTTAAAGGAATGAGATCTGTAACTTACTAAAACTTCAGCTGGATGGGCTGACAACTTTAGCTAAATTAGCTATAGCGCTAGCTAGAACACTTGCCATCCAAGCTACGTTAGCCACCGTTTCAAGTTGTTTTGCCTCTTTCCTTCTTTCCTTTAAACACTGCATTTTCTGCATGTAGAGCTTCATTCTGTCCAAAAGGCTGGAGGATTTCCATAATGTTGGTGCTCCTGATTTATTCTGTTTTTGTTCGTGTTTTTTTCTCGGTCTAAAGTCTGAGTCTAGTTGCAAGTCAGTTAAGAGTGGCACAAAGTTGATTCACAAGTTGACTGGCCTGTGTGCCCATCTGTGGTTACTTGAATATCATGCAGACTAACACTCAAAGCATTAAGCACCATTGGAATCCAGCACCTGTGGCCAGTCATTGTATATAATAAAATGCCTGAAGGGAGATGAGCGGAAGTTTTCGAGAAGAGTCAAAGAGGTCTCTGTAAGTGAGGGGGAAGCTCCTAGTGACCCATTCACTGGTGTAGTAAACAGGAAATTATGTCATTCGTTTGGTCATCCTCCGCTCCTTCTCTCTCTCGCTCTCCTTTAGCTCTATTTTTAAAAGAGCGCGGAGTGGATGCAGCGGCCAGGCCGAGCCAAGCTAGGGACGCGGCCAAAGAAACGTCTACTGCAGCAAACACCAACATGTCTAGCAATACAGAAACAAGGCTGGGGGGTGAAGGAGAAATAAAGAAAGAGAAAGAAAGTAAGAGATGATGAGACAGAGAGAGACAGCAACAAAATGGAAAATTAAAGGTAGGGGCAGAGTCTGAGAAGGGAGAGTGAAAGCAATAATGGAAAGAGAGAGTGGTGGAGACAAAGCAGGAAAAGAAAGGAAAAGGAGAGGGTGATCGGGGTCATCCTGGCAGACGGCCAAGCCCAACACAACGAGGTCTGTTTCCCAGCCCAGGGCTGCAGCACCACACATACACACAAATGCTCACCCCCAGTCAACCCATTCTACGGCTACAGGCCCGGCCCAGGCGTGGCCACAGCCACATACGCTCTCAAATCTCACTCATCCTGGCTAATTCATATGTGTTTTCTAAGAAAATAAATAAGCAGCAGGAGTGAACTGGTAACTCAGACTATGTCCATATGCAAACAAACCACTGATATCATCACAGATGTGTTCTTTTGTATAAAGGACTGATGTTTTAACTTGCTACTCTGTACGTTCTAGAGCATCGCTCAATTTATCAAAGTACCCAAATGCTGTTGTCTATGAGCATTCATCACTGTCTTATGGACAACTTACATGTCTGTTAGAAATATTGCATTAAAGGGCCCATATCATGAAGTGACAAACATTCCTACCGTTTTTTTTCAATCAAACATTTTGATGTAGCATGTAAACATTGTTACCAAACATAACATTCACTTCACAGTCCATACATTCCATATATGGAAACTGAGCTGCAAAAACAGCCCGTTTTGAATTCTTTGTTTTTTGTGATGTCACAAAAACCATCACATTTGCTTATGTCCACCTAATTAGCCTACAGCAATTAAGCCCTGCCCATTCACACTGAAGTCTTAAAGTCACAGCAATAAAAACAGCCTGTCAAAATGAAACAGCACTGTTTTTGGTACATTAAACCAAATGAAAGAATAAAGTAAGACATGGGCCCTTTAAGTCCTTAAACACAATCCTTAAACTAAAGTTTTACCATTACCCTGAAAATGTGAAAACTATGAATAATGCAAAATTTACACAGCTATGCCAGAAACTTTCATTTTCCTATCTGAGAAATAAACTAGCCAGCTTTACTGCTGCAGATTCTGGAACAGCCAATGCATCAAACGGGCAGCATCTGGAAAGAAGCAGCTTTGAGGTAGGCTACACAGCAAAAAGGTAGCAAAAAATTCAGCTTTGCCGGTATCATCCCACTTCTTCAGCTTAACATGTGGAAATACATACTGTGTGTGAGACGATCAATAAGGGTGAAAAAGGGGGAAGGAAAAAAAGCAGCCACAAATCACATCAGGCATGAAGCCCCACCACCCCACTGCTTGAAATTTCACCATAAAAATCAATGTAAGACACATTGTAACTGGAGTCACCTAAATCAACTCAACTGTGGCAGTCACAAACCATCAGCCCATAATTCAGCCAGGGGTGTCAGCGGAGGGGTAGCAGAGTTTGGGATGCAGTAAACACCGCAGGATGTTGAGTATGAGATCAACAGAGATGCAGGGACAGAGGACAGAGCAAAGATAGAGCAATCACAGTGTTCAGATGCCCAAAGAGTTATAGAGAGAAGATAAATAAGCCATATGTGCAAAAGTATCTAGACACCTCTTCTAACAGGGATGCTGTAGAGTGGCCACACATTAGGGGTATAAAGCACCCAGCACATCCCTGTCAGAGAAGATACATAAGCTATAGGTGTAAATGATGCTCTAGATTGGCCACTCCAGAGTTCCCAGCAGAGAGCCGTGGAACAGTGGATGGAGTGATATCTTTGGGATGAGATGGAGTGACCCAAAACTGATCACTCCATAGAAGTACCTGACCTCACTAATTCTCTCATGGCTCAATACAACATGAGTTCAAAAAAGAAAAATGTTGGATGAGCAGGTGTCAAGAACCCTGTTCCTGGAGATCTACCTTCCTGGCTCCAACAACAATGTGCTACACCCGCTCCAGCTAGAAGTCCTTGACTGGATCAGATGCTTGAGTGTTAGGTAAGGGGCCTGCTGGGTGCAGATCAGAACTAGACTCTCCAAGAAGGTAGATCTCCAGGACCAGGGCTGGTGGCCCCTGATGTCGAGACAAATCCCACCCCTAAGTAAAGATGCCACCTCTAAGTCAGTAGCAACAGCAGTCTGGTCTGCTTCCACGTGGCAATCACAGAGCGGATATGTATGCATGTATGTGTACATAACAGGGCCCATGCAATCTGTCTTCGGAATATAGTTTCAAATCCTTTACAAACATATAGAGGCAGAAAAATCACACAGGCCATGCTGTATTACTAGAGCCTGTTCTCAGTCTCAGTGAGAGTCTATGAATATGAGATATATAGAATATATAATCAAACCAGTAAAAGGTAGCAGGCAGAGAGAGAGATATGATGGACACTGGTCTTAATACAGCATTCAGAACCACTTAGAGAGAGACAGACACACAGACACGCACACATTCTTACCGATACATACAATGACACATGTGCTCTTCATCTATGTTCTATCTGTGTAGTGAGAAACTATAGTTACAGACAAACACACACATACAGACAGGCACGCCCACACACGCCGGCATCCAGCATAATCTGACTGAAGCCATGCTGTGGCATACTACAGCAGCAGAGCCCACCCATGATAGAGGAATCAGTCCCTGGAGACACAAACACAGTCTCACTCTCACATTCACGTTCAAACGCAGCCAAGCCCGTTAGTTAACCAAGCCTCTGAGAGCAGCCAGGCACTTACCCCTCTTCTGCACCCAGCCTTCTTTGACGATGGTGACATCGCTCATGATGCCTCTGTCACGGTGTGCTCTCCGCTGCTACACGCCAGCTCCAGAAGGAGTGGGGAGGTGTTGGGAGTTGGGGGGGGGTGAGGAGAGGAAGAGGGGAGGGGAGGGGTCAGCGTCTCACTCACTCCCTCCCTGCCTGCCTGGTGCTCTCCCTCTCTCTCTCGCTCTCCGTCGGTTCACTCTCTCTCTCCTGTCGAAGCCGTTATGGAGGCTTTCCCCTCCTTCCGACGCTTCTCTCTCTCTCGCACGCGCTCTTCAGACCTTCCCACTCCTCAGCAGTGAGTCAGCCTAGAACAAACACACACACACACACACACAAAAATGGAATGCATGGATTTTTCATTCTCGACCCCCTCCTCCCCTCCCAAATTCTTACCCAACCGACAAGCAAGCCTGAAAAACAAGCCTCCTGGTTCTCCCCTCATACATCTTAACCCCCTCATAGACACTTTACCCCTGTTTACTTTCAAAATGCACTTAAAGGGGAATTCCACCATTTTTTTTTGAATTTCTGCATAATTCTGTTGCTAAGATGAAAAAAAGTCATTCAGAGCAGTTTGATATAAAATGGATCATTGCAGAGGAACTTACCAACTCCAATGGTGGTGATAGGAACCAGGGGTTGCAATGTCTACAACACAGATATGGCCATTTTATTCACTATCTAAAACCACCAGTGGTCCTACAGGTGTCTTAAGTTTTTGTATGTAATGACGATCATGGAGAAACAGTGCTATATCTGAAAAAACACACTTTCCCTTATGGACTATTTTGTGGACCATGTCTGCTGCCACAAATGGCTTTTAGGACAAAACTGTATTTCAAAATAGAGATATTTCAAGTATCAGGCAGCATATTCATAACCTTTTCATGTGCTATCTTTCTGTGAGGGAGCTTTTAGAGGCATTAAACTCTGCAGATGTCTGGTTCCTATCACCATCACTGTGAACAATTTTAAGGGGTTAAATATTTCAATAATCATTAATATGAGCTGACAATTGTATATTTGATTTTAATGTCTTTAATGTCTTTGAATACTCCAGTAGAGTTAAACAGCGCTTTTCTGACTGCTATGACTGTCACACTTTTTAAATACAAAATGTCTCCTTAAATTATATAAAGCCATAAGTCTGTGCACCTTTTGTCATAATACATGTTTTATTGAGTGAAAATAAGTTAACATATCGTCTACAGAGGACACACTTCCGAACACTGTAATGTGCAACTACTGTTTATTTGCTGGATTTAACATACTGGGGGGAGACTAAAATGTGGCCTGTGCAAAAGTTATGGCGCATTTTATGTTTATTTGTTGTTTTTGTTTCATTTTATGATTTATTTACTATTATCTCCAAATCACATCTCCAAAATGATAACTTTACAGGAGAAGGAAAAAACAAACGCAATGTAAGCCAATAGAACCATTTCATTCCTCATGAAATTTATATACAATGTAAAGAGCAACAGACATTTTCAAATAATGTCAAAAACTGAAAAATGCACACACAAATACATACGTTATAACCTAATGTTCAAGGTTAGGTGCTGAATTTTGCCCTGTTTACACCTTGCATTAACATGTGTTTCCCATCCTGATTGTATCTGCATATATTTTGCCTGGATTCCATTTAAACTCTTCACAAAAACATCTCCATTTTGACCAGATGAGATCTGATTTTACTTTCCAGAGTAAAAACACCATCAACACATACGTCATTTCAGTTTTACTTCCATGTACTTTCACTGAAAACACATGCTGATGCAAGGTGTTGGACGCATTTGCTGTTTTTGTTATTTCAACCATGAGTTTTTATTCAACTTTACAAGTTATTGTGTGGTTATAATATAGATTTTTACCACCAGGAATTACCAGATACTGATACCCAAAGGTTTTCTGAGCCCTAGTTTGAACAAGTGCATTAATGATGACTTCCTCATAGTGCCCAGGTCAAGCACTGTTGCACGTTAAATGCAGATGAATAACATAAAATGTCCTCAGGGCATACATGGCACATGAACGTACCTTAAGTTTGCATTAAAACAATAATCAATAAATTCTATAGTAAGCATGGGCGAAATGGTAAGGACTTAAAATCTATTCTGTAAAATCCCTGTACTCTCATTTTCATTTTCTGAAAAGCTCTCTGGACTGCCAGTAAATATTGGTGTCTCATTGACATTAGGTATAACAGGTGTGCTGCATAATTTCCTCAGGCAAGTCTATTATGGATTGTAGGACATAGTGTTTAGCATAAAACCTAAAACTCAGTTTTGCAGCTGTGGCCTCTACACTACTCCCACGGCTTGATTTTTAAATGAGGGATGTCAGATATGATGAGGTGCATTCAATGTACATTTGTATTCATGTAACACAACTAGAAGCAAACTGCTGAAGCGTTTATGTCTTGCCCGAAGCAAAGGGATCAAAACTCCAAGGGTGTTGCCCTGAAATAGACATTCCTCCACTCTACTGAATGTGCATACTTTGCCTTGCGGACACAGAATGCAAAGTTGACCTCTTGACTTGTTGAACTTCAGCTAGTGACCACAGGGCTGTGCGGTGGACCCACGGTCAATAAGTATGAGTTCTATCCTCATTAAAAACAGAATGACATACAAAATTGCATGCATTTTCAGGAAGCAATGATTTGTACATGGCCAGTATTCCCACCAGTCCACCAGAGAAAATAGCATTCCGATAAAATCAGCTACTCTCAACTCTGAACACCTGCATAAAATAAAGAATAAGATAACTTTAAACTCTTAACGTAAAACAACTCAAAACAGCTAGTTTAGAAAAGTCATTCCTTTTTTCTTTTATGCATTATTCATGTTTTCTGCTCCAATCAATCAACATATACAGAGGGAGAAGAGAGAGGAGGAAGCCTATGAAGTACTTTAGTAGGCCACCATGTTAGGAGAGCAAATGAGGTAAACTTAAAATAGTGTTCACTAAGCATTTAAGCAAATCTTCTTGGCTAATTTATGAAAGTAGACGGTACTTTTAAATGTTAATTATGCTATTTATAGTCAACAACAGTTACAGTGGTTATTTTCTGACAATGTATACAAAGTGACTAAAATCTTGAATAATCTCCATGTGGTAATCCCAATGCGTCAGTTTTCTGACCAATTTGTGTCTCTTGAAGTTTGACCCAGATCTTTCAGTATGATCATCCAGACTGTGGCTATGACGAGGTGTAAAATTATCACTCATCACCCTATGAAACTTCTCACAAAAGCATGATGATCCCATGTTCAAAACATGAACGTTTCAGATGCCCAGAGACTAATTAATGTTGTTTACTCAAATTGAGATCGCACGGCAATGAAATGGACTGTACGAAGCTGCAGCAAGCTCTGGGTCTAGGTCGAACCTTACTTGAAGATTAAGTAAGCCTATAGAATCAAAGATTAAAAAGACAAACAAACAAACAAAAAAGCTGAACAAAAAACATAAGAATGAACCAGTAAACAAAGCTGACAGAAGAAAAAACTTAAATAATCTGGGATAGAGATGATAGAAATAAGAGAACCTCCTCTTTTCTCTAGAATCTGCTGCAAGAACACCATAACAAGAGCCAATTTATCTAATAATTATATTAATTATAGTATCATATAATTAATCTAGTGCATAAAAAAATGTAAGCAACACTGAAAAATTACAGCAGATGTATAACAGACATTTTTAGACAATGTTTATCTTAAAAGTTGTGTAAAAACTACAGTTATTATGAATAAATAAATAAAGGTGGGGAGAATGATAATGATATTCGTATTAATATTTATCTTTTAAAGCTAAAAAAATACAAAAACGATGAATAAATTATGCTGGGGGAACAATCAGATCTACATTCTAGGTGTGGTTCAGTTTGAGTTGCTTGCCAGAGCACAGAGAGGCAGAGCAGTGAACTTTCTGCACTTTTAATCACAGAGGCAGCAGAGCAGGAGACAGCGGTCAGTATTTGGGTCAGTATTTGGTCACATATGTGCGTGAGAGAGAGTCTGTGACTGTAACTTTATTAGTGAACAACAAAACGTTCATTAACATGGGTCACAGTTCACATACATCAGAAACATAACCTGTTTAGAATTTAACAGAGGCGCCGCTACAAACACGTAAACAAAACTCTAATGGCTAAGCTCTAATCGCAGATGGCTACGAACTAATAATGCTAATAACCTGAACTAAACCACATCTAAATCCAGCACCCAACTAACAAGAATCATATATGCCTTAACAACAGCTATTAAAAGATACTTAACACTTACTCAAACGCCATATCAATATTATAAACACAGTCCCAGTAATTTCCAGGGTTGATATGAACGCAGTAATTCTTAATTCAGCTAAAAATGGTGCAAAGTAAACTCAAGCAGGAACACCATCTGGGCCAATCTAATCTAATTATAAAGAAAATCTGAGTAAAAGGTTCATCATAGGTGAGAGCCGTCAAAGAGCTGTTTGAGTTGCATCTAAATCCTCTATTAATATGATAAAAAGGGACCAAACAAGCATCAATGGTGTCCTTGTTCTTCTATTTGTAGCTGGAAAGACTTACGAGGTCAGGCCAAGCCCAGCGAAGCACCAGGTCTGCTGTCGTGATCTGACTGGAATGTTCAGCGTTTCCAGAGACGCTCACGTATCAGAGGTGAAATAAGGGAGACGGTGAGATAAAGCTGGACTGGGTTCAGCAGCACATCCTCGAGGGAGCCTTTAGTTATTCTAAAGAGAACTTTCCTTGTTTCTCCTCCAACCCGTGTACTTTCGCAGACCTCTTTGATGCTATGAATGAATTCATGTTTTATAACATGGTAGTGAAAACGTGTTTGCTGCAATAGATTCATCTACTTCCAGCTCCAATGTACATTTTGGAAAGGTGAAAAAAGGATGATGAAAAAATCAGACAAGCCAAGTAAATGTAAGCTGAGGATGTGAGCTTGGATGTGGTTCTTCAACATGATGACTTCCCCAAGGACATATAAGCTCTTTGAAAGTCCAATCAAAGTATAGTGCAGTGCCTGTCCTTGCACATCATTCAGAAGTCATCTACCTTGAGTATGGCTGAATTCTACAAGCTTGTCGTACATCAGCAGCTCTTATGGCTGGAGACAGTTGTGACTCAGTCTGACGCATTGCCCTTGTCTGTATGGCAAAGCGGTGGAGGAAATGTATTGTGCTATTCCACTCCGCCTCCTTAGCTACTGCAGCTCCTTCATATCTCTCTCTTCCTCTCTCTCTCAGCAACAACAAAACTATTCACCCATTCCTCTCACACCTTCAGACT